ATAATAATTAATGTACTGCAGTGTATTTTAATTACACAAGGGTGATACACTAAATTTGTTCATTATTTATGAAGGAGCGATATATTCTACAACAGTTTATTATTAATTACATTGTGGGTATGTGTTAAAGGAATTACCCTGACATGCTATACCTGTCTACATTATATCATTTTAATATGTATTATAGTATTATTATGTGTAATTATATATTAATTGAAAGATGAATATAATAGATTCTATTATGAAGTAAAATTTAAATAAACTTAATTTCTGGAGTGTTAAGGATTTAAAGTTATTTTATATAGCGATTATTACTAATGTTAAGATAAAGTTTGAAGAAAACGTTTAGGTATTTACCTCCCAAGGAGTAAATACATATTAGGTATTGGGTTTTTTATTGACTCAGTTAATTGAATACAAAAAAAAAAATGATTTAATGATTTTACAAAATTTATACAATAATGTGTATTTACAATTTATACTTAAACTGTATATATTTTTTAGATACTGATTGATTTAGCGTTTAAGTATGTAACTATACTAATGAATCATAAATTGAATACTTGACCATTTGTCCAAAAGTTTTTTTTTATTGACCTTTAGCCCGGCAACTGGCTATTAGCTTGTTTGCAGGGGAAAACGGTTGATGTGAAACACGTATTTGTATGTGAGGCAAGGATGTGTTGCTAAAAACCCACCCGGGTGGTCACCCATCCGAGTCCTACCTAACCTAACCTAACGTTCAGAGTGTTGCCGCATATTGAGCTTACGACTGCACCTCACCAAGCTCCAAGTTTCTTTTTAAAATAATTTTGATTATTGTATAAGTACCCAGTTTTGGCTACACTTGTTAATATGTGCGGCCGCTTTATGGCTGATATTATAACATAGGTATAGGTAGCTAATAAATTATAAAATGAGTATTTCAGTTTATTTATTCCGTCTGTTATACATTTTTTAAGTACTGCCCACATTTTTTTTATGCTGCTCAAGCTTAATTTATTTCTTATTTTGTTCAAGTTAAATGCCCACAAGATGAAGTGTTAATAAGCTACATTTTTTATTCTCGTATGCAAAACTCATCATTCAATCAATAGCTTAGTTTAAATGTTTTAAATAAAGACGATTATTCGTTCAATTTATTTGTAATATTAAGCTACTAAGCTATCTAATATCTACCTACATTTTAATTGAATTTACGGACCACAATATTTTGCTTTATGTAATTCACGAATTGGGCTTATATGGTAAAACAAATTATGTCTGTAGTCTGTTGTCTAGATTATGCAAAACTACTGACTATTCAGTAAAATATATTCTATGGCTGGAGGTATTCGCGGTATTTTGAAATACCGGTGTACTGTGATCTGATAATTACCGTTGTTACCAAAAATACCGTACAGCCGGTAATACCGTAGATACCGGGAGTAAATAAATACCGGATACTGATATCAAAATTTGAAATACCGCCCACCTTATAAATGGTATAACATCGATATAGATAATAAACTACCTAGATTGCTAACAGTTCCTATTGGTTATGGTGCAATTTGAAGCTGGCGGTCCGCCATTTTTTAAAAAAGGGCAGCTAAACACTAATAGCACAGAGTACAATGTCATATTATTATATGTTTATATTATTATGCGCCTTGTTACATAATAAAAATAATTGAAAGTCTTAAACTGCAGTAGATATTTAAATGTACTAAACGTATAAATAGCCAAATAATACAATACAACTACAATATTTATCAATAATAAATAATAATGCTGCGATTCCAGTTGTTATGACGAACCAGAATGCGTTAAGCGCCAAGAATAAAACTAAGTTGATAAGTTTTAATGAACATTTCAATTTATGAAATAGGTATAACTAGGTTCTTCATAATATAACATAACATTGATCGTGACCTTTTTAAAGATGGCCGAATGATTAGTTGCCGACATTACTTTGTTATGATAGTTGGAAATTTAGTTTATTATCTATATCTGTGAATGTTATCCACTAAAAACTTTCGTCGAATAATATTTTGCCAACAGTAAAAATATTACTTGAATTAAAGTGTACACTGTACGTGCATTTATTGCCTACTTGAACATTTTTGTTTTAATAAGATTGTTGTTTTAACAATTTAAGTATTCAATATGGAAGTATAAAATATAAATAATATGGGCAACAATTGATTCCAATAATGGAGTATATATTTGATTTATTATTGTACACAAGTCATAGGTACATTATAGTGTCTTTATCTATTTAAATATTTAAATATTTCACTACCTACAATTGCAAGACTCTAAAAAAAATTAACTTACCTCATTTCATTATAATCAAATACTATAAATTATGAACTTTAATATATCATACAAATATCCAAACAAATTTGCATTAAATCAATTTATATGTATAATTCTATGCAATAATAATAATATATCCTATGTACATTGCATACATATTTTGATTGGTCAATAATTGTTGAATTTTGACTTGTCATTTTTTATTCAAAAATACAAATAAGACTATAATAAATTAAACAGAATGGAAAACCATTTTTTAGTTTTCAAAGTAATTCCGTAGAAACGTTGATGTATTTTAGGTCTAGAGGCCAAATAAATTATAATGGTGGAATGTGATATTATAGGAACCTCTTTAAGTATAAGTAATAAGTATATATAGATATACAACTATATACAGTGATTTTAATTTACAGTTACAATAGCTGCATTGTAGGGCGTTTTTTAAGTTGCGCCAAAACACAAGTGAACCAAATAAACCTACTAATTACCAAGTATTTGAAGTTTAAAACTCGTCGAAATAACTGTTTTACGAGAATAATGGCTTGAGTTAGAAAACAACTAATAAAATGGCCATTTAGGAATTTTAATTTCATAGACCTGGAAGTTTACTTGAGTAAGTCGGTACTCAACGCCATCATAAAATGCTCAATTAGGAAGGTACTTGATTTTTTTATCACTTTGTTTTTACACGTTTGCCTATAATAGTTTCTCCTACAGTAAACTTCAAGTGAATAAATATTTAAAGGTGTAGGCCAGTTTTAGAACATGAAACAACCAACTAGAAAATACTAAAATATAAAATGTTTAATAAGGTTTTAAATAATATGGTTTATATAGCTCATCGAACAAAATTTCGCTTTTTGAAATATTCATCATGAACTTCAGAATAAGTAAAGTAATTCTTAATACATGCCAATGCGTACGTATAGCAATGCAGTTAAAACGTGTTTATTATTTTATATTATATTTTTACTTAAACATTTAATAAGCTTTACACTGCCACTGCGTGCCATTTGTTATGTTGACAGTGCATTAGTAGGTACAATATAATACTTCACGGACCATTGCCTACCGTCACGGTTCGACTAAAATACGAACGCTCATAAGCTGCTTAAAAAATTTAAATCGACACTTAGCGTACAAATGTAATGTACAAATATTAACCTTTTGTACATCGATTTCCAAGTCTTGATGACTTCTTAAGACTTAATAAAATATAAAATCAATACTTACTAGTCTCAGTACTTTTCAGCACACTATGAAAAAGGTTACAGATAAATTATTTAGTACTTATCAATTTTTTCTCTAATTTACTTTTTGTATTACTATTATAAATGCAAGGTCTTGACTGCAAAGGTCATTGGCAGTAATTTACTTTTTATGTGTTACCATTTTAGTAAAATTAAAACAGAAATATATCAGAAACTATCTAGTTCAAGCGGATTTCAGTGGATTTAAATCTGATTTATAAATGTTTAATTATTGATCAAAGGAAATATTATTATTCATATTTTATCCACTTAACACTTTTTTTAAAAATTTTTTTTTTATAGTTTCCAGTGCAACTATTATAGCTCAACAATTATTCAATACATATGATGTATATAGTTACATAAGATAAAAGAATACATTAAAAAATAATAATATTGAACATAAAATATAAGATAGTGTAAAATAGTGTAGAGATAAATATAGATGGAAGACCCTCGAAATAAATAAGTTGCAGATAACATAATATACGTTGATTACAAAAATATTGTATTAATTTAGATAATGAGGTATGAATAATGTTTGGACTATGGAATAAGCTGTTTATTTAGAACAGCTGTAAGGAGCATAATGAAGGGGTTGATCAATGCGGATAGTTCTGAGATAAATTTAGTAAACGACCTATCGTTAGTGTGGCAATTAGGTAAATGGATATTATTTGAATGACGATGGATTCGTAGGAAGCTTTGGGAATGTGAGAGGGAGTTTTGAGATGAGGGGACGTGAATACTGTATTCGAATTATGTGGTTTTGTTTGAATTGATTTTCGACGTTTAAGAAGTGCTTCGAATGCTGGACATCCATTGTAGCGGGACGTATGATTGCCCATGCAAATGGCTCAACACTTTATTAAGTTATATAAATTTAAAGTAAAAAAAAAATATTAAACATATGTATTTCAGTATATTAAGTTACTCCTTTGCAGAAGGTTGTCGAGTTAAGAAAAATCGAGAAACTCTATCCGCTGTATAGTCGACTTCTGTGTCTTAAATTCGTATTCTGCAATGATAAGTTATCATAGTAGGTAGTCAAAAAATGATTCTGAGGAAAGACATGTGCCATCCTCTATTTCTAATGATATTTCAAACATTTATAATATATAAAAAACTATACATAATTTTTTTTATCCACCTAAAAAAATTACTAACATTATGTTTAATAATCTAACCAATAATTTCTTAAAAGAATATTTAAGAAATATTTACTTCTTTTAACCAAAGCTATCTATGTAGGTACTTGTTTCGTAAATATGAGTGCGATGAGAAAGTATAGTTCACAAATACAGATGAAATAAATTATGTATTACGATTTGTATTGAATTTTTATAAAACATACACATTACGCGTATAAGTATACATACGGAGGTGATGATTTTTTAAACTTTTTTTTATTATTATCAACAGCCATCAACTCATTCGAGTAAATAACTGAATATGTCAGTTACACAGTGGAGCCATCAACAACACTCCAGTGACCAGTCTATTTTGTTGGCTATAAGGTAATTTACCAATCAAGTTATACTAAATACTTATATAATTCTTATAAAAAGTTATATTTTCAATAATATTATAAGTATGAATATACATGAAGTGGACAATATACTGTACATATAGTTTATAACCTAGATTACCGACGGTATTATGGAACTTGTTTTGGTACTACACATAAATTATTATATATTTTTTTTTCTTTGAAATTTTGAAGTGTTGTCACAGAACTTATTCTTTTGAAACTTTCTTTAACAAATCACAATATTTTCATGTTTTGCCTCTCGTTATTTATAACACCACAATTTACAGTTGCCAGATATTGCATTATATATTTATACAGATTGTATGAATAAATATATATATAAAAAAAGTTATTCACAATTTTTTAGAAAACTACTAGTAGGTAATTTAAAATAACATCATTCTAAATAATATACCATCTGTGCTACTTTTCAATCGATGAAAGAAGTTATACTGTATGAAACTTTTGTGCAATTTTGTCTTAAAAGTATTTTCAAAAACAAACTTATGGTGAAAACAAATCATTACGATTATCGAAAAGTTTCACAAGTCCAATAATAATAATTTTCATAGTATCGTAAAAATGTTATTATAATAGTCTTCTATAATAGAGATATTATGATAATCTATGGTTAATACTTAATATTGTTTTAGACTATGGTTCAGTGATACCGTGAAATCGCAATATTACTGTAAGAAAACACAGTAGTTGAAAAACCGATAGCAATCATTTTAGTACTTTTGAGTACTTTTTTAGCCTATTGATTTACACAATATAGTATGTAATATTAATTCGTTTATTTGCATTAGCTATAATTACTATACAATTTTATTACAATTCAATAGTAAATGAATTATTAATTATATTAAAATTACTACATTATGAGTACGTATCATATAATATAGTATTTACTATTTGTCGATAAGATATTATAAGATGTACAATGCAGAACTTTTACTAAATTACTCAAGGCGACGTTTGAATGGAATACATTTTAATGTGTAATGATCTAATTATTATGTGACAACGTCCTTAAGATACCAATACAATTAACGAATAAAAGAAAATGAAAAATAAATTAACAGTAAAAAAATTTTGAAATCAACGAGTCAGAAAATGTTCGTATATCATTATATACCATTAATTTTTCTCGTAGGTAGTAGTTAAGAATTAAAGAGGATTTATCTAGGATCCTTGAATTTAGCCCCAGGTCAATATTCAGCGATATAAAGTGTTCCTTAGCTCAATATTTGGCAGGCATCAATATTATCACCAAAATGATTTGAGCAAATTGGGATCGGCTAACTCTTACACGTTACCTGTGAATTTAAGACCAAGGAACTACACGACCTTGTAGTCTGATCTAATATTGTTATAGCCAAAATTACAGATACATATTCAAAAGACATATTATAGGTAGCATACGAAATAAATACATTTTTCTCGTACACCTAATAGTGTTGACGTATGTTGTAACGAATACTTATAAAAAGTACCTACTTTCGCCCACCAGTCGAATCATATTTAATCATTTAAGTGTTATACTTTTTTCATAAAAAAAAATGTAAATATTATAATACTAATTGCTCAAGTGTTTATATTTTCGTTCATAATTGACGATTGCGTAGATTGCTCTACCGCAAATGTGTGAAATACACGAGTGTGAGAACAATAATTATAATATTTTATTTAAACGAACAAACAATTTCTGTAAAACCACCCAATAATAATCACTCATTTTTTTTTTAGTTTAGTTAACACTAATCATACAAAATCTCATCAATAACTGTTAACTATCTATATAAAGCTTGACTTAAATCATGCAATTTTACTAATTTTTATTAAAGTATACAAACGCTTTATAATAAATTTCTATAACTGCTAAGAATCGTAATTAATGTCTATGTAATTTATCACCTCGGTGTTCTTGACAGACCAATGTCAATTTTAACTTATTTTTAGATTAAAATAAAGTATAGGTGACAATTTAACAGTGTCGGTTAAATGTATTAAAAATAATACGGTCAAGGTGGAATCTCAAGCTGTGAGCTAATAAATGGGAGTATATGCTAAATATGTAACCGATCGTCAAACAAATGTATAGAACGGATCAGTACCTACACTTTTCTACAAGTATGTATTTTTCAGTCTGACTCGTTCATTTTGTGTATTTTTGAAATTGAATATAGAATATTATAGAATATAGTTATGTGGGGGG